GGAATATGCCACATTTTGGACGAATAAATCAAAAGTAGGTCAATACACTTGAATCAAAACGCGATATGGACTAGTGTCTGTGAATATTAAGCCGCAAAAAGACAATATATGAATCTCGCACGTTCTGCGTGTCTGTGGAAATCAGGCGCGGACTGGCCATCGGGAGAACCGGGAAACTTCCCGGTGGCCTGGCAGCCGATTAGGCCCGCTATTTTAATATTATTATTGTATAGTTGCCTGCCGAATGTACTAAAGCGAATATTTCCATTCCAATTATCCATTCGATAATTAAATCTCTAATAAATCATGAATCGGTTAGTCATGACTGGCAATGCTTTGGCTCGCGCGCTCTCCGCGATCTGTAAATATGCTATTGTAGTTTTGTCTTTGTTTACTTAGTTAAGTATAGCAGCCCATTGCTCATCAGTCATCACTGAAAATACTGTATAAAGGACATAATTTCTGTCAGGACCACTATCGTCAAAGATGATTGACAATTAGCATACAGTTTGGATTGGCGGTATGGTTCTGTTCTGGGCAGGAACTCTCTGCGCATCCATGCAGCCTAGCATGGATGAGAGCAGGGAGAGCCGCGATAACCCCCCAGGGTAAACAGAACAGAACCAACATAAATGTATTGCAGATATCATAATGTTATGATATCCAATAATGTTATGTACACATTTTAGAATTAGTCTGATTCAAAGGAGAACCAGAAGGCTGAATCCTGACTGACAGAAATGTAGGCTATATGGGCTCAAACGGCATCCAAAAGCATGGTCGCGATGTAAGATTTTCCAGCTAACCAATTATTCCTCTAATAAACAAAGCTTTTATACCACACTTGTCATAATCAGAGCTTATAATTTGTAAATAAATAATTGCTGGATTCAAAACAGCAATTAAAAGGCACTGTGACCGACACTTGACAATACGTTTTCCCGGAGCATTCAATGATGTCACTAAACGGTGATGCCACAACTAAGAGCATTGTTCACAAGTTTCTGCATGGACCCAACTAGCCTAGGGCACAGGTTTTCAAGCCCTGGGTCAAAATGGGATGCTTTAAGGAAAATGTGTAGCCTATGTAAGTAATCGGCCTAAAATAAAAATAACAATTTGTTTTCAATAAAAAAATATGCAAAATATATCTGACTTAAATAATTAAGCTAACGGAGGGTAATTAGCTATTGAGCAATGCGAAAACTGCTGATAATACTGAGGGACCTTATATATGAATGCTTCGATAGGTGTCGTATTCCCATAGGTTGATGGGGATCAGCTGAGAGTCAGCTGATGCGAGCTTGACTAAAATGACCTGCCAGAACTAACGCTACGCTAGATTATTATCTATTGTAATGTTACAGTAGTAATTTAGCAGACAAATAATCATATTTTATAATAGGTTTAGGGGGAGCTAGGGCAGACAACAACACAACCCTTACGAAAATTAACGATGATTTTACTATAAATTCAAAGACTATGGTTACTATTGTTAAACCATGGTAACCACAAATTAACCATG